TTAGTATTGTAATTATTACTGACTCAAGGGGGATGAGGCCTCTGAAATCACAATGACCACATCCTGCTACACCCCTCATATCCTTTTTGAGTTCTCTCCAACCCTAACTCTACTTTGCCTAAGAACATGATCCTCCAGAGCCCAAGGGAGTATGGCCTTAGGCCATATCTTGAGCAATCTTAATACTTTATAAAATTCAATTCTGTTTCCTCCTACTGACCTGCAGAACTTTTACATACATCATTTGAGGATTAATTATGAAATGTAGGAAGATGTCCAGGTAAACAGATATGCTGTCTTTCAGAACCTCAGTAGTGAGAAGTGAAGTAATTTTTCTCTGGTGGAATTATTAGTGGAGCTATTTTTTGTGTGTATGTAGTGTTAATTTTTCATCACGAATAGTAGGGCACCAACCTTCTGGAAATTCAAGCTAGTTTTAAGGAAATGGAGTAAGACTTAGGACTACATGTATCACTACATCTTAGATTCAGCAATTAAAACAGTTTATTTTGGGATACATTGTGTAAGAGAGTACTTTGTTCTTCTCTAATGAAAGAGAGATACTTATTTTATCAAAATATATCAAATTCATTATTTCTGCCTCTTGGAGCCTGGGGAGGCCCATGAGAACAGGGCTTCTGAAACAGCAAACATGTCTGCAAGGCTGTGCCCTGAGGCCACTTTTGCTAGAAGCGGCATCTCTGAACCAGAGGGAGCACACAACTGTTCTTGAAATTGAAGGTGTTTATGCCCGAGATGAAACTGAATTTTATTTGGGAAAGAGATGTACTTATATGTGCAAAGAACAACACAGTGGCCCTGGCCGCAAATCAAACAAAACCAGAGTCATCTGGGGAAAGGTAACTTGTGCCCAAGGAAAGAACAGCGTGGTTTGTGCCAAGTTCCAAAGTAACCCTCCCGCTAAGGCCATTGGGCACAGAATCCATGTGATGCAGTACCACTGGAGGATTCAAATTCATTGAAAAGTAAATAAATACAATTTTAGGTTTGTTCATTTGAAAAAAACATGTGGGTATCTAATGTCTATGTGTTGGCAGGGCCAAATAGTGAAACAAGGATCTTCAAGGCGAAGGCAGCATGTTGGGCTCCCTCCTTCTGACCTGCCCTTGGCAGCACATAGGCAACCTGTCTACAAGGTCCTTCCACTTGCTGCCTGCTCCACTGTCCCAGGGGGTCATTGATGGGTGCCTTATTTTTTATTTTATTTTATTTTTTTAGACAAGGTCTCACTCTGTAGCCCAGGTTGGAGTGCAGCAGCACGATCAGAGTTAGTATGGGATGAACTGTTGGGGAGGGGGCTGGACAATAGGACTGGACTAAGAGATCTTAGTCCTTACTAAGGAATATAGGCCACAGTGGACATCTGTTGTGCAGCTCAACAAGAAGCAAGGACCAACTCTTAGTTCTCTGAGGTGAGTTTTCAGGAGTGACGGGGGAGATGTTTTGAGGACATCCTGAACCCACACCATAGGTGCCTCTGTAACCAAGTGGAGAGAGGCCCTTGGTTATAGAGTTGGGGGAACCTGGATGCCTCTGGTACACAAAGAACTCTGCAGTGGGGGCTTAACTTCCATCCTTGGGAAGGTCCCCACCTACCTTCCTGGTCTTGAGGGATTCTCAGATGGAGGCCTGCCTGCAAGTGGCTCCTCCATTGTGTTCTGTTAGGAGGGAGGGATGGATTGATGGAAACTGAGTGGAAGTGTTGTTGAAAACTTTTGTTTTGGCTAAAAATAAACGATTGAACTTAAATACTGCTTGGAAATAATTCTTTGTTTTACCAGTCAACTTTCCCTCCTATTCTTCATGGTGGTTACCTTAATATTTATTCTTCGCCAACCTCCCAATCTAATTCCTTCACCGTCACTTTAAGCAACCACTCATTCCTTTTACCTTTCAGAAAAAATAAAAGCCTCTTCCTGCCACCAAACTTACAAACTTACTAGCTCCACCCCATTCTCCTCTTTTTGTTGTGATGGAAGGAGTGTCCCTCCTCCTCTCCAGGGTTAATCCCTACACCTGCACTCTGTGCTCTTTCTCCTCTAGCTTCTCCCTTTCTATAACCGTCTCTTTCTCTAGTTCTCCTGCCCCTTTCTTTCGTTTCATCATGCTTAAGTGTTGCCCATCTTCAACCAGCAAACTAAGCAACCAACCAACCACTTCTTAAATGGAAAAACAGGCATTCTTATTCCTGGTTAGTAGCATGTAAATTGGTGCAACTTTTTGGAAAGCAAATTAGCAACATCTAATGAAATTTAAATGTCCATGCCCTTTGATCCAGCAGCTCCACTTCTATGAATGCATTTTAGAAGTGCATTTGCACACACTGAGACATGGCTGAGAACGTTCACTGTGGCATTGTAACAAACAGCGCAAATATCCATCAGCATGGGTTTGGATTGTCATGTTGCTATGAAATAGAACGTGGTTGAGCTGGATATTACCTGTGTGCGTTATTCAGTGGTATTCAGAGAAACAACCAATAGAGATTCTCTCTCTCACACACACACGCACGCACACGCGCATGCACACACACACATCTATCTATCTAAATTATAAATCCTCCACAGGGGAGGTCACTGGAGGACCAGCAGAGGAAGGGTCATCTCTCCCAGCTGTGTCAGGAGAAAACCAGATGACTTCCAATGTCCTGTGAGTCTAAATTTTTATATCATTAATATAACATTGTCAATAAAGTTTTAAAGCTTAATTTAGAAAAGAAGCATAGAATGTGCTTTATCATTGAGGAGACCCTGGTAGCACTGTCCCCTGGATGACATGAATCTCTCTGGGTTCCTGGCAACAAGTCACTGGGCACAGGGCTTCTACCCTGCCTAAGGAATTTCCATGGCTCGCTTCCTCTAGAACCCTGGAAGGGGGACCTTTGATCAGCTGGCCGGAGATTCATCTCCACTAAGAGGCTTCCTTCCCACAAAAGCCTCCAGTCACATCCTTGGTTAGGTTTTGCCGCCTCCTCTCAGTCTCAAAGTCTATAGCAAAAGGTAGAGCTGCAGGGGTTTCTTCTCCTGGAGCACAAGACAGGCTGCATGCAGGGATGCCTGGTTTAAGCATATTTTTCTTGGGGTGATGAGTGGCTTGGGAAGGACATGCATCATCTTGCTGCCCTCCTCTGCTAATTTAAGCTGCACCGTGCTTGTGGTGTTTGCATCAGCCCTTAATTTTGACAATACAAATAACTCTAGGGCAACACTGTCCAATGGACCTATCTGTGATGATGGAAATGTTCTGTAATATCTATGCTGCCAAATATGGCAGTCAGTAGCCACATGTGGCTATCGAGCACGGGAAAGGTGGCAAGTATGACTGAGGAAGTGAGTTTTAAATTAAATTTAAATTCATTTAAATTTAAGAAAGCACATGCAGCTAGTGGCTGCCGTATCGGGTAGTGCAGCTCTAGGCCCTTAAACAGAGTTTGTGTAGTCTTGGTTAAGCTCTAGCCTTGGAATGTTAAACTGATCTTCTTGAAATGTACTCTGATTCTTCAGCTGGAGAGCTAGTATTAACTATCTGTATTGCCTTTAAACCAACCAATTAATCCATCAACTAACCAGTTTACACCCCCCTGCCCACTCACTGACTTTCATGGCTTTCACAGCCATCTCTATGCTGATGCCTTCCAAATCCCAGATTCTCTGCTGAGATTCAGACCCAAATGTACAACCATGTGATGGACATCTATCTACACTTGGATGTCTTACAGGTGACTCAGATTCAACCAATTCAAATAAAATCGTTGTCTTCCCGCTTTCTTCAAACCTGCTTTTCTTCTACGAGCTCTAGCTCAGGAATGTCACCTCCATTCTCCCACTTGCTTGTGCTAGAAACCTGCAGCTTGGTCTTGACTTCCCCCCCTCTCTCATCCATCTCATTCAGTTTCCATGATCTATAAATTCTGCCTCCTAAATGATTCTTAAATTCTGCTGCTTCTCATCATCTCCACTGCCACTCCCCTGGTTCAAATCACTATTGGATATTTCTAAAATGCAAATCTGATCATGTCCCTTCCCTGCTTAAATTACTTCAGTGACTCCCAATTTCTCCCAGGATAAAGGCAAACCTTCTAACATGATCCCTATGTGATCTTCCCCTGGCATCTTTTACCTCCCCTTATCTTTGGCTGCTTCCTCCCCTTGCATTCTCTGTTCTAGGTTTACCCCAAATACATCACAGCATCTCTCATCTACGGGCCTTGACACCTGCTGCTTCCCAGCTGAGAACCCTCTCCTTGCCCACCTGCTTTGGCTTAATGATTGCTACCCATCTTTTAGGTGTCAGCATTTAGTGGTTACTTTCTCTGTGGCCGTCTGGGCCACATGTTCCTCTCTGTGCCTCCATAGGACCTGCAATTTCCAGCTCTTCCACGTGCCTGTAGGTTCCTTGAAAGCAGAGCTTTGTCTGTCTTGTCTACCACTGACACATAGTTGATGTTAAGCCTCCATAACAGAATCCTTAAATGGAGCATATTTGGGCCAGGGCTTCTGGGGATCTTCTTCCTGTGACTTCTTCAGCTACTTTCTGCACTCATGGAGATTTTCCTACATGCCAAATCCATGCTAGAGGGCCTGCGTGGTTCATGGAAAATGACAGCTGGAGCCCTGTCCTCCTGGTGCTGATCTCAAGAAGTAGTTCATTTGGAAAGAGCAAGAAGAGAGGCCTTTCTCCCTATACCTGAACATAGAGCCACTTGGTTAATCAGCAGACGTTCCCAGGGCAGCCTCAAACAAATTGGTGGAGTCTATGTAAGTTCACAGGATGGACAAGCCCATGTGAACAGACTACCAAATAGAAATTGCCAACACTCTCTCATATTGTGGTAGGATAAGCTTACAGCTCTCAGGTGCAAGGTTTTATTTATTTATTTATTTATTTATTTATTTAGAGACGGAGTCTTGCCCTGTCACCCAGGCTGGAGTGCAGTGGTGTGATCTCTGCTCACTGCAACCTCCACCTCCTGGGTTCAAGTGATTCTTCTGCCTCAGTCTCCCGAGTAGCTGGGACTACAGGTGCGTGCCCACCATGCCCAGCTAATTTTTGTATTTTTAGTAGTATCAGATAGAAGTGCTGGAGCCAAACAGTGTTTCACCATGTTGACCAGGCTGGTTTTGAACTCCTGACCTCGTGATCTTCCCACCTTAGCCTCTCGAAGACAGGCATAAGCCACTGCACCCGGCCTAATTTCTTATTCTTTTAAAAATATTTTTTGAGGGTCTCCTGTGTGCATCTGTTCTAGATGCATGTAGTTAGAGCTGAGCACTCCAAAATGCACACAAGCAGCCATGTCTCTGGAAGTAACCGTCCCACAGAGTGCAGGAGCCTTTTAAAGACTGTGCTCCTCTTATAGTCATCTTATTTCCCAAAGTCAGAGAGGTTGAAGTGCAAAGAGTATACATTTTGCTAAAAAGGAATATTTATAAAACTGAAAGTGTATTGCACCTCCTGATATTTTTATGAGTAAATAAAAGCAAAGTAGCCAGAGCTAAAGAAATGCCTTTAGTGAAGGCTCTACACTTGGAAGTCTGAGCAATTGCAGAGTGAGACCAAGAGTTCTCCTCCATTAGGATACTCCTCCTGCAACTAGGAAGGGGCTGCTCTGATATTAACTAATGGGGCCCACATTGAACCTGGTGGTTTCTTGAGGATACAGGAGAGGAGACACAGAATTCCAGCACTAGAAAACACCAAAAAAAAGGGGTCCAGATCAGGGAACAGTTTCTCAGTTACTGATGGACAATGGTTTAATCATTGTTCCAATGGGAAGAAGTACCCAAGGTTGGTGGTGGGGGTGGGAGTAGGGGAAGTAGGGAATCAATTGACTTCTGTAGTCACTCTGAGTGAGAGGGACAGGCAGCTGGCCAGTGCCCCTCCCACTGCCCTCCTGGCAGAGAAGGAAAGAGAGTGACTATTTCTCTGCCTTAGAGTTAAAGCACCAAGAGAAACGTGAGAATGCTTGCGGGAAGCCAACCACATTTGCTCTTTGTTGACTTTTGTTAACAAGTGTCACTTGGTGTCACACTCTCTTCCCATATTCCCATCCTCAGCATGAACACATATGTGGGAAATACTCTAGGATTTGCAGCGATTTTTGGGAAACCTTGTCCATTCCACACCAGGCCCACATTCTGGGGGTGGGTTCCAGGCCCACAATGGCTCCTTCCTCTGCACCCACAATTTGGCTGTCTGTGGTCACTGGTTTAAATTTTCCTTTATTCACATTTTGCCTCCCCAAATGGATTGTAATACCTTTGAAGATGGGGAGTATACCTTGCACATCAGTGGTGCCTGCTTCGTATATAACAACACAGAGGTCATTAAAATGCTGAGTGAATCAGATAGAAGTGCTGGAGCCAAGCAGAGTAGTTCCTAATGTGTGTTAGGCACTCACAGCGCATGAAGAATAATGGGCTTTACTATTGTTCGTTTGTTCACTCTTTCATTCATTCGAACGTGTGGGAAATGCCCAGTCCATTGGGTCAGTAGAGAAGCCACTTGCAGTTCTTCGTGTTGGTTAGAAAGGCTCAAGGGATAGACCCTCTGCACTAACACCCCCACATATCTGCATCTACTCTGTCTCCTTTCTATTTGTTATGACATTTTTGGCTTAGAAAAAGAAAAGATGAAACAAAGTTCAAATGAAATTCATTGTGTGTTTCCTCACAGCTTACACTTGGCAATCCTCTAGGGAGGACTTTGGCTGAACCCAGTGAACCAGGAGGAAAAGAATCACAACGTCTGGAGTTTGTTGACTAGAAAAATTCCCTGTGGTCTGACAGATTACCATTTCCCACCCAACCATTCTCATCAGAGAAACCAGTCCCATTTTCAACTGGCACGGCTAGTTGAAAGTTCTGCATGTTTCCCCAGGTATCTAAATAATATGCTTTTGTATTGATTTTGCAGATTAGGCAGAAACTTTGACTTCCTCCTATGAAAGATGAAGATTGAGCACTTTTGTTCCCCTATTCTTCCAATGTAATTATATTGTATTTTTTTAAATTAAGTAACTACCCAAAATTAACACTGTTACGATTATTATAAATGTTTTCCCCAGTAAGGCACACAGTGTACACTGATAATACTTCCTTGGTTATACAACTTCTTTTTCTCCCTGGAGTTCAAAATTTTCTTGTTTTGATATTTTTCTGTCCCTAATTCTCCTCCAACTCATTGCCAGGAGTGTTAATCTCCTCTTAATAGTTCAAACACATCAGGTAATCAACTGATTTTTTATTTTTAACACATCCCCTCTGGAGCCCACTGGCATCCTGCTCTGATGCGTCGTTCAGTTCTACTTAGTTGGATCCCTCTCTCTCAAATCCTTTGTATGCCTTTTTCCTAATTTGCTCCTTCATTTTGTGGAATATATTCAGTACCTTCCCAGTAAAGTATGTTTGGATTCTATTGGATTTTTTTTCCTGTTTTTATATTTTTTTAGAACTGAAAGCTCATTTTTGTTGTATGAATAGTTTGTTCTTTTTCATAGATGCAGTTACATTCTCTCTCTGAAGATATTAATTATGGTTTTCCTGAAAGTTTATTCTGCTTTTTGTGCTGTCTTGGCTTTCTCTGAATATGTATGTTTGATTATAATCCCCAGTAGTCATTGTTTATAAGTCTTTTCTTTGAGGAGCTCAGTTTCTCTCTAGAGAAGAAATTTCTAGCGTGCCGCCCCATGTATCTAAGCTGAGTCACCAAGATTCTCAGATGCAGTGGCGAAAGGCTGCTGGCTGTTTTCACCATTCAGCATGCTGACTGGCCCCTCATCCCCTTCTCTGGTATATCTTCTGTTGGATGAGAGAGGTGCTTGTCTGATGGAGTGGAGAAGTGATCAAAGGATCAAGCTGTATTTAGTATATCCTTTTAACCAACAAGGTTAAGGTCCCTGGGCCTCCAATTCTATGCCTACCAGGGGCTCTGGGGCCAGTCTGTTATCCTCCTGCCTCCTCACTGCAACCTGTGCCTGGTCTCTAAGTTACTCATCATTTACCACCTACTTTCCAGTTTCTGACATCGTGTTTACCTCTCTCTCTCCACACTTGTTCCTTTCTCTTTTAGCTTTGTCCTTGAGATGGTTTGTTTATTTGTTTGTTTTTTGCCTTTAACAAAATCTCGATACTGTAGTGAATTTTGGGGGTGGGAATATAGGCAAAAGATGATGTTCAACCCACTATTGTTATGGGTTAAATGTGTCCCTCAAGTTTCATGTGTTGGAAACTTAATCCTCAATGCAGCAGTGTTGAGAGGTGGCACCTTTAAGAGGTGATGAAGTCATCAGGACAGTCTTAGTGCCATTATTTCGGGAGTGGGTTAGTTATTGTGGGGTTGGATTCCTGATAAAAGGATGAGTTTGACCCTGTTTACTCTCTCTTTCCCTTCCACAAGAAAATGGCATACCCAGAAGGCCCTCACCAGATTCCAGCACCAGCCTCCAGAATGAGAGCCAAATAAATCATTGTTTATAAATTACCCAGTCTTAGGAATTCTGTTTTAGCAACACAGAACAGATCAAAAACAACCACGTTTACTTGGCTGGTTACCCCGTCTTTCTTGAAAGGGGGGAAAAAAAGCACTTGAAATAGTCTGTGGAAATTCTACCCAGTTTGGAAATGTTGCTGAATTCTCATGTCTCTAGATTCAGTTCGCAACCCTCACTGAGCTGATGCTGCCGGGTAAAAGGTGAGCGATTACGGTGTGCTGACCATTTGAGTGAATAAATTAGTCAGGTGTTCACTGGTAGCACTGTTGACTCCTCTGAAAGCTAATGGACTCCGAAAACTCAGAAGAGGGGAGAGTATAGCAGCCTTAGTAAACTTGGGAGAAGTGGCTTCCATATCTGACTGCAAATTAGAATCACCTAGGAAGTTTTCAGAATTATAGATTCCTTGGGATGATTCCAGAACTAGTTGAATCCTAAGCTCATGAACTAGGTCCTGTATAAACTGCATTTTTACCAACAAACTACCCACTTGTAGCCTTCTTGTTATGTGAAAAGACACCTGTAGTGTTTAAGGCACTGTTAATCATATCTTTTGTTGCTTAGAGCTGAAAGTGTTCCTAACAGATCTGGAGGGCTCATGAGAGTTCTTTGACACGAGTGGGGAGGGTGTGTCCATTCAGGGGAGTGTGGATATAGAGTCAGGGCTCGGCAAACATCTCTGGGAATATGCAGCCAGCTGAGGGGCTCCTGGGGATGATGGGGGAAGGCTCCAGGTGCTCCCCAGACTTCCAGTGTGGACTTGCTCCTCACCATGTGCTCCTCCCCTCCCTCAGCCCAGCACACCTTCCTCTGGTCTCCCTGGAGGCACTGGGATGGGGCTGTCCATCCCTATCCCTGGTCCACATGTCTCTGTGCTTTGTGCCCCAAGCGTCGCTTTTTTGATTCTCAGATGCCGTTTTAGAGTCACAAATATGAATGTTGACATTTTTGGCTCTTTTCAATCCCTCTTTACCAACTGTACTCTTGTGGGAGGCTGTTTGGTCACTGTACAAGGAAGTGAGCAAAGAAAAACCCACAGATTATTATCTCAAGATAATATCTTGCCACACTTATTAATAACAATCAGCCCATTGTTGCATCCACTCCTACCCTACCTTCAGCAAGATAGCTGGGTTCACTCCCAGAAACCGCTGGAGGCAGATTATGCGGATCCCACAGAGATGGCAGACAACAGAGAAATCGGGGGAGAGGGCAGTGGCTGGAGCCCAGGAACTAAAGAGTGCAGTGGGGATTTTTTATGTCCTTGGGGGAGGGAGTGTACTCCAGAGCCAAAGTCCCAAGTCAGGGAGGCAATGGGAGACAGCATAGCCCCAGAGGGTTGTGCTCATGGATGGGGAGAGGTAAGGGCTGTGGGTGGGGGTTCCAAGCAACTCTTTTTGTTAAAGAAGTCGCAAAGGTAGCCCAATTTCAAGGGTAAGGGAGATAGATTCTATCTCTTAATGAGGGAGTAGAAAGTTTCTGGATGAGCATGTGGAAACAAACATTTTGTGGCCATTTTTGGAAGATACAGTCTACTACAGCAGAAAGCATCCCACTAAAAGCCTGGTGCCTTGGGAACAGTAGGATAATCAGACTTTCACATAGTGGAGGGAATTCATTTCAATTCTAATGGCTAGCTGAAGGGAAGGGGTCATTTTTGACTAGGGCAAGAAGATACTGGTTTGGGAGCATTCAGGGGGCAGGCCAGGCCACTGGGGAGACAACTTTGTTTAAGACTTGGAGTCTGGGGTGCAGGCCAGAGTGAAGAGGAGGGATGGTTGTAGCCCCCTGACATGAGCCTGCTCATCCCTCGGGGTCAGCATTTCTCACCTGCCCCCATTGGTTTCCGCACAGCAAGCCTCGCACCTCCTGTGAACACTCTGCAGAGAATCCCGCAGTACTTCTCTCTCTTCCTGTCACCCGCCACCCCTCATTCATTCCCATCCTTCTACCTCTGCACAACGTGCTCCCTTTAGGGGTCCCCCAGTGTCCTATATGTCCCTCTCTTGTTGTGCTTATTAGTCTGAACTGTCACATACTGGTTCTTTGTCCATCTCTAGTATAGGGCTGTGAGCTCATTGCGAGTAGGAACTGTAATTTTGACCCCTGTCTTCCAAAATGTCTAACAAAGTGAGAGGCCTCAGTCATGTTCACTGAATGAATGAATGAATGAATGATCCAGCACTCATTAGGCCCTGAGAACACCTATCTCTCCCATCAGAGGCTAGTGGTATTTCTGAGGCTGAAAATGTTCTCCTCTATGCTTTTCCAGCAGCCAGCTCCCTTGGGCTCACCAAGAACCATGTCAACAGCCATACTTGCTGCACTGCTGATATATGCAGCTCCCTTATCACAGCCTCCCAGTTCTTGTCTTCCCTCTCTTCTGTTAGATGCTTGTTTTTCACCATCAGGGTGACAAGGTCCCTCAGATAGAAAGTGGCAAGACCACAGTTTGCACCGGGTCCCTGTCTTTTATTAGCAGTGTGACTGCCGCAGCCGACTCTTCCCAGCTTGTGTTCTAAACATGCACCCTCACCCACATCGGTTCTTCCCTCTCTTCCTTACATTTTCAACTGCTCTCTCTTTCTATTGCTTCCTTCCCCTTGGAATATAATTATGTGCAAACAACTCCTATTTTAACCCATTTCCACCCATTGACCAAAAGTTTCTTTCTAAATATTGCCTGTTTTGCTTTCACACCCAAGTTTCTTAAAAAGCATCCTGTGTCTCTTTCTTATGAACACGGTCCCCTGCTGTCTTCCTTTTCCTCTTTTCCATGCTTCTGCGATGGGCCAATTACTCCCTGGGTGACACATTCTTTCTAGGGGGTTTCATACATTCAAGTTTTCTTGGCTTGAAAATCACCGATCTTTTCAAGGTAACTTTTCGGCATTCTGTTCCCATCTGGCAGGTGTTATTTTTATGAATTGGCAGTGGGGGGAGATAATTTTGCTTATATAGCTGTGGGTTTTTGGCCTCTCATGCTATGTACTCACATACTACCTAAATGGAGTTGATCTGTACAAGGAGAGAAGGTGAAGCTGAGTTACCTGGGAGCTCGAGAAGCAGAACATTTCGATTGAACACTTGGTTGCTATTGTGCCAATAACTTTTCTCTTTTCCACTCTCCTGAGCAGCAGTACCATGGCTTGAACTCCGTGTCATGCTCTTTGCATCAATTCTGGGCAAAGTCAACTTGCTTTCCCGTAAGTAGTAGAACTACGGGAAAGTAAAAAGATTTCTTTCCACCTCACAAGGGAGTGGCTGAAGGCCAGTTTTAATAGAAACGATGCTTTGTTACTCAATATTAACATTATTTGTTTGTACTCTATTATCCGTTCATTATTGTCATGTTCTTCCTTAAAAGAAGGTGGGGCATCTGCTTGTTGGATTCAGGCAGAGCATGATTTTTAATGTGTATATTCTTGGTCTTAAGCCATGAAAGTGTTGTAAATCACCAGCAAGCAGCACTAAGTATTATCATCCTCTAGGCATTGAAAATTTGAAATGAGCTGCTGACCCAGATTCTTTGAAGAGAATACTGAGTCATAAAATGTTATTTCCTGTATTTAAAAATTACTTTTTTTCACTTCAAAGAAAATGAAGTGAAAAAAAATTCAGTCAAAGAAAATTAACTGGTGTTTGTTACCCAGTTATGTGTTTTGGTTGAAAGTTCTTCTAAGGAGTAATGTGATCCTCCTCCACCTTCTCTTTTTCCAGTGTGTTTGCTTCCCCTTTTCATTTTCTAGGTCATGTAAGAAATCTTTAAATTAATTGTACAGTTTTTTTTTCCCACGATGCTCAAAATCCTCTAGTTTTTATCATCTGAGTTCAGGCATCCATGCATATGCCAGCAAATATTATTCTTTATAATAAAATTTCCTCCTGTAATCATCAAAGAGATAAATCAGATTTCAAATCCCAACATCAATGCATTCATTTCTCAGAAATACTCTGTGCTCATAACAACTTCCACTTCTGCCCAACCATGTGCATCTCTCCTATGGCTCTGAAACTGCATGAGTGAGGAGTAATCAGGGTTCCTCAAACATGGTGCTGGAAATTTTGTGTGAAATGAGTTAAGGAGCACAACTGTGTGACAAGAACCAAATGGTATACTTTTCCAGGAGGAAGTCTTACTCTCCCCTGATGTACTTACTGCAAGATAAAAGTACTGTTTAAACTAAAAATTACTGCTTTTGTCTTCTGAGTATTGTTTTTCTGGGGTCTTGTAATATAGCCTTAACATTTTTTTTCTTAAGTTTTTGGAGTATCTTGAAAGGCCTATATTGACTTTTTTGTTTTTGTTTTTGGTTCTTTCTCCAAAAGGTGAGGATGAGTGGGAGACAGTAACACTCAGATTGCTGAAACACACAGTACTATATAATAAGATGAAACTGAAATGTCAGGGTAGCTCTGGAGAGGGATGAAGAGCCTGGGAAAGGAGAAGCAGTGGAGATAAGAGCAGAAGGAAGGGGAGGACCCAGGGACTGGTGGTGGGATGAGTCTGAGGTCAGGACTGCCAGTAGAAAACCCCCAGGGCTTGGATGGACAAGGACCTTTTAAGAACAATGATTAGCTGTTTTCAATTTCAGGTTGCTATCGGTGAAGGATGTCCAGGTTCTTGGCATCTTGAACAAAGAACTGGGCAAAACACACAAACAAAGCAAGGGAAGAATGAGGCAACAAAAGCAGAGATTTATTGAAAACGAAAATACGCTCCACAGTGTGGGGGCGGGCCCGAGCATAGGGACACAAGGGCCCTGATACAGAATCTTCTCGGGTCCAAATACCTCCTAGAGGTTTCCCACTGGCTACCTGGTGTTTACCCCATTTAAATGAAGTGGTGGCCCCAATCCGTCTGGTTGATTTCCACTCAGAGGCTGAAGTGGTTACAAAGGTCACACTCCTATGCAAACTCCTAAGATTCACTTTAGCATCACAGGCTAAAGTGGAGTTACAAAGTTGCACTTTCAAGCAAAGGAAGACTTGGCTCGCAATCAGTCTGATTGGCTGTGAACAGCAACCAGTCAGAGGCTGAAGTGAAGTTATGAAGTTACACTTCTATGCAAACATCTGATTGGTTGCTTGGCACCAATCAGAGGCACTTTCAGTTTCCTATCTGCCCTGCAGAAAAGGTGGGGGTTTGCAAAGCGAGTAGCCTCTGGTCCTTTTGTTACTTAGGCATGGAAAGTTAGGGTTTTCCTTTTAATTTAGCTCTATGAAGTCAATGTGAAACAGCCTTAGGTTCCCTGCCTTCAGACCCTATTCTATCTCAAGGTTGTTCTGTTTGGTGGCTAGGCTCTGCTCCTCTGTTATCCCAAAACCTTCATGGAGAGCCTGCTGTATCTGGCAAATTCGTACAGGTAGATTTGGGGACTGAAGGCAGAAAAGGACCATTTTCACCTGGGAAAGAAGTGACATGAGGGACAAGAGGCAGGGGCATGCCTGGGGCCATAGGCCACAACCACCCCCATGCATCCCAGTACCCTTCAGGGTGGCATTAGGAAGGGCCGTGGGATCTTCCCACACAACTCTGGTGGGTTTGTGTTTGGGTCTGAGAAAAGTTGCACAAGAGGAACACAGGAAGTGGAAGGAGGCCAGGGCTGGGGAGAGGGGCCTGGGGAAGGGTGGGAAGGCTGCAGGGCAGGACTGGAGGCTGGAGAGGGAGTTGTGGCTGTCAGGAGGGAGTGTGGATCGTGTAACAGCCTGGGTTCCCTTGAGATATTTGGCGGGGTGGGTGTGAGGGGGAAGAATCTGATAAAATATGTAAAGTTCTTTTGGCCAACTAAGTTGGAGCATTACAGGCTGGGGCTGTGTTACAGACTGGAAGTGGGGCCTGATAAGGAACTGATACATTTCACAACTGGTAAATTACAGTAAGCTAAAGTCCCATGACATTCCAGGGTCCCTCAGCCACCCACAGCACTCATAGAGATAATCGGGAAATCTCAGACTAACCAAACTTGTCCTGTGTATTTTCTTCCTGTGGTACAAATTAGACTACAAAGCTTGCAATAGAAGAAGAAAAGACAATCACTGTGTATTGCTGGGTTGTGGGTTCTGAAGCAAACTTGAAATTGAAGGTTAGAGCTGGGCAAATGTAGCAGAGTGATCTGTTTCTAGAGAAAGTGATTCTAATGTAGAGATTATGGCCTGAGATTTTGAGAGTGGGCAGTGAGTATTGTGGGGGCAGGCACTGGCCTGCTATGCAGACAGGATGGAGAGAGATAAATGGTCCTCCTGAAATAGTAGCTCTTGGGGTAGATATTACTGATGACACAGCAGAACTGAGTGATATGCTCCTTGCTGGGGAGGAAACCAGCATTTTAAAATTCTCTACATATTTATGACCCTTTGGACGGTAATCCTGGAGCACTTTGCTGTTCTAAGTGTCTGATGAGGACTCCTGAGCTGCCAGGTTCTAAGATGCAGCTGCCAGATTATGTTTATTTTTTGACAAAAACAGGAGCTGGTGGATCCCAAATCTGGGACAGGGCCCTGGTGTCCTGCGGACCCTGATTGGAATTCATTTAGAAAAATGCAGATGGGCTGCACTGTTTCTTACTTAAGGATATAATATACCCATAATGCTTTAAATGAAGTGCCGGAGATGTTTTCTAGAGGTCTTACTGAGCAAGAGATCTAGCGGGCCAGACAAAGCTAACCATCAAACTGCTGCCCCTGTTTGAGTCCCTGAGATAACTTCACGCCAATCAGGACTCATACAAGTCTGGAGCTTTGTGATAATGAGTTCAGAATTAGTAGTGTTTCACTCTTCAGACTTATCTTGAATTCTATCAATGACTTCCCTCAGTGGAATTTATTTATTTATTTTTGAGACAGAGTGTCTCTTTGTTGCCCAGGCTGGAGTGCAGTGGCATGACCTTGGCTCACTGCAAACTCCGCCTCCCAGATTCAAGTGATTCTCCTGCTTCAGTCTCCTGAGAAGCTGGGATTATAGGCATGCACCACCAAGCCCAGTTCATATTTTGTAATTTTAGTAGAGATGGGGTTTCACCATGTTGGCCAGGCTGGTCTCAAACTCCTCACCTCAAGTGATATACCTGCTTTGTCCTCCCAACCTCAGTGAAATTTAGATCTGTCAGTTTCTTACTTTTTGTATTTTGAAGCTATGTTATTGGGTGTGTTAAGATTTAGGACTGTGATATCTTTCTGTTGGATTGAGTCCTGGTCATTATAAAGTGCCCCTCTTTATGTTTGGTAACACTTCTTGCATTACAATCCCCTTTGTCTCATATTAGGATAGCTACCCCAGCTCCCTTGTGGTGAATATTTACATGGTGACTCTTTTTCTGTCCTCTCACATTCAATCTGTTTCTTATACTTAAAATGTGGTTGTTGTAAGCAACATATATTTTTGTCCAGTGTTACAGTCTTGGCTTTTTACTTGGGTTATTTAGTTAATTTATACTAAAACTGATACAGTTGAGTTTAGTTCTACTGTCTACTATTGTATTCTATATGTAGACCTGTCTGTTTTATGTTTCCTTCTTTTCTTACCTTTTTTTTGATAAAATATTTTTTATTATTCTATTTTACTCCTTCACTAACTTGCCATAGACTTCATTACTGTCTGCTTCCATTTCTTCAGTGCTAATCTCTGGCTGCCTTCATTTCTGGGTTCCATCAATTGAAGAGGAAAAGTAACAGATTCTCCAAGTGCTCAGGGTGAGCAATAGATGGTTTAAGCTTAGAAATGAATGGGCTGGAAGGATAAATAGAGATAAATAGAGATGGAAAATCACATTCTTTGAAGGGATCCATGAGATACATGGTTTTATAATGGAAGGGGCTGCATTTTCAACAACAGAAAAGAGAAATAATATCAGTTATTCTAAATATTGTATAGTAAAACTTCCTGGGCTCTAAATGTAGCCATGTTTCCCAATTTTATTACACTTACAGATACGTCTATACTTTGAGAAGAAGTCATGCTATTGACATTCTGAAGTCAAAATTAAGTATCACTTATTATTTAATGGCTTAATTTTCTGTAATCCGTGGATGAGTTTAGTAAAAGAAACTGGTATTATCTGATACCTGTTCTATCATCTTTCCTCTTCCTGGATTTCTTTTTGATTTTATTAATTTATTTATTGAGACAGGGTCTCACTGTGTCACCCAGACTGGAGTGTAGTGGTGCCATCTTGGCTCATTGCAACCTCTGTCTCCCAGGTTCAAGTGGTTCTTGTGCTTCAGCCTCCTGAGTAGCTGGGGTTATAGGCAAGCACCACCATGCCTGGCTAATTTTTGTATTTTTAGTATAGACGGGGTTTCACCATGTTGGCCAGGCTGATCTCAAACTCCTGACCTCAAATGATCCACCCGCCTTGGCCTCCCAAAGTGCTGGGATTACAAGCGTGAGCCACCCCGCCCAGCCTCTTTTTGATTTTAAAGAAGGAGTTTTTACTTCTGTGTTTCTAAAGCTAATATTCCCAGCTCCTAGCTACCCTTACCCACCTCCTGTGGAATATCACCTTCACGTGTTTTGGCATGTTTACTATCACCCTTTCTGTTTCTCCTCAGAATATATCTTCTGTCTCTCCTGCCATTTCTAGTTACATGCAGTCTCTTGGATCTCTTTTCCAAGAGGTCTGTACCCTCTACTTCTATTTTCTATTTACTCATTTCTTTCTTTCTTTCTTTTTTTTTTTTTTTTTTTTTTTTTTTGAGGTGGAGTCTCTCTCTATCGCCCAGGCTGGAGTGCAGTGGTGCTATATCGGCTCACTGCAAGCTCCGCCTCCCGGGTTCACGCCGTGCTCCTCCCTCAGTCTCCCGAGTAGCTGGGACTACAGGCGCCCGCCACCATGCCCGGCTAATTTTTTTTTTTTCGTATTTTTAATAGAGACGGGGTTTCACCGTGTTAGCCAGGATGGTCTTGATCTCCTGACCTCATGATCCACCTGCCTCGGTCTCCCAAAGTGCTGGGATTACAGGCGTGAGCCACCGTGCCCGGCCTACTCATTTCTTTTTTTAAAAATTTTTCTCAACAGGTTTAATTTCATCAGGTCATTTAAAAAACTGATGCATATAAACACAAAAAGAGTTCAGATTTTGACTTCCTGCTGGCAGAAACATAAAAAGAAAAAAAAGAGTTCAAATTTGTATATTTAAAAAATGGATCCACAATAGCTGAACGTATTTATAGGGTACAAGTGATATTTTGATACATGCATACAATATGTATAGAGCTCAATTTTTTCTCTTTAATTAAAAATTTTATATTATTATTTACTCATTTATTTGTTGATGTATTAGGATATTTTCAGCTACATGTGACAAGAAATCCAACTATTAATGTAGCTTAAATAATGAGGACATTAGTAATCTCACATGACAAGAGTTCAGAGACAGGGTTGTTTGAGAACTGGTGAAGTGTTCAGTGATGATATTCAAGACCCAAGCTCTTTTCATCTTTTAACACAACCATTCTTGGTATGTTGGTTTTCATCCACAGTCTTATCTTCTCATGGTTGCAAGATGGCTGTCGTAACTCCAGGCATCACACTTCACACAACTACATTCAAGATGGAAAAAAATAGTTTTCTTCTCACGTATTTTCATCAGAAGGAAGGCATTTCAAAACCTCCTTATCAGACTTCTATGGGGCCATTTCTCAGAATCAGGTCACATGATCTGGCAGCAAGGACTGGGAAAATGAGTAGATGATGGTACTTTAATCTTCTATAGTAAGAGATGGTTTTGATAGCAAGTGATATTTTGGAATGTTATGGTCTGTGGTAAGAAACCAGTGGTGTTTACCACAATTAACTCTTTAAATTTACCTTCTGGTCTTGAGCTCCAGACTCATATAACCAGTTGCTACTGGAAATTTCTATTTGGAAGACCCGCTAATATCTCAAATTCAATGTATCTGCCCTTTCTCCCTGTCCCTGGCTCTTCTCCATACTCCATCTCAGGGAACAGCACCACCATCTATGCAGCTGTCAAGCCAAGAATCTCGGTGTCATCTTTGCCTCCTCTCTTTCTTATCCTTTTTCATCACCTTATATGATTGCTTCCATCACCTAAAGGCCCCTCACATCCACCCACTTCTCTCCATCTTTATGTCCTCATTGCCACTATCCTGTGTTGTCCATTTCTGAACTCCAGAACAGTGCTTAACTCAGAGCAGTAAGTCAATCTGTGGGATGGATGTTTCCAAATGGGAAACAAACATTTTAAGATAAACAATGACTACTATCTTGCCTTATCAATTAGCCTCTTTTCACCCATTTTTTGTTGGGTGGGTGGAAGGCCAGATGCAGCAGGGTGGGTTATTGACAGAAGAGAATTATAAAGGATATAAAGTATTTTAACTCTCTGTCGGTCCTATACTAGCCTGTGTCTCTCTCCTTGTGCTCCCTTCATATTAAGAAACAGAGGATGTTGTCCGGGAGGTCATAATAACCTAACTGAGTAAAATTCTGAAAGCCAATTTTCGATTCCCAAGCGTATTGGCTATCTAGAATTTCCAAGGAACTTGATGTATCAGGGTAATGCAGAAAAGCAGGACCTCAAGCACCAGGGTTTTATAGCACCTATAAAACATGTTTTACAGTTTCTGTTCAATTTTATGCTGTTAAGCTAAATATTTGACATCATATGGCACTTCAAGCACATTGATTTATGGTAAGTCAGCAATTGCATCTGTAATAAAAAGTCCAAAGTATGGGTTTTAAAAGTAATCTACTGTATTTATTATTGACATAAACAGTTACCTGCAGTCCATTTGAACATCATCTTAGGTTTAACTCATGTATTAAAGATATTATGTTTTCCACTCAGCAAGGTCACCTTGAAGGTGAAAACTGTATGTGGTTGAAAATGAAAAAGATTAAATGTATAAAGATAAATATTTTGAAAATAAATGATATATAGTATTTCATTTTTGTATACTCCTAATTAATAATCATATTCTGTTTATTTTTTACACCCACCTTCTTCTCCCAATCTCCAACTCCAGCAACCACTAATCTGTTTTCCATCTCTATAATTTTGTTATTTCAAGAATGCTATGTAAATGGAATCACATAGTCTGTAACCTTTTGAGATGGACTCTTTTTTTTTTTCTTTCACTGAGCATAATTCTCTTGAAGTCTGTTTACTTTTATGTGGATTGTCTGTCTCGTGCTTGTTTCACCAGGGTAGTTACAACTAGGGTGGCAAAATTTGACTAATTCAAGAACTACTTCAATATAAATCAAAATAAGAGAGTCTAAATTCTAAGTAATTTTTTAACAGGGAAAGATTATTTATAATTATGAGTCCATGGTAATGAGTGAGGAATGTTTATTTTTAGACAGTGTTAGAGCAAATTTGGACAAAAATACACCTACTTCAACTATGACGTAGTTGGCAGCATGATTAAAAGAACCACCAAATTTCCCTAATGCTAATTTGAGTGTTTTAGTAAACATTTTAGAAAAAAATGTGAAGAATGTTAGAAAATATCCCATATTTATTTTGGATGTGCCAAATGTGTATTAATTTATGAGCATTTATTGTGTTCACCTTGTGTGTGCATGGTAAGCCCAGAAGTCATGGAAAAACAAAATCTGCATGGGCCAAAGGTATAAACTTGTATTGCCTTTCTTTGACTAACTAATGTGTTTCTTGCTACTGTTCTTAAGATATTGTTTGTAGGTTTATATTTGTTTTCAAAAATAAGTGTAAAGTTTGACAAAGACGATTTCTTTTTAAATACCTCAACAGAAGGAGGTCTGCTGTTTGGGGATGGTTTATTTTAGGGAGTATGTTACCAGGCTGTGACACAAGGTCTCCAAGGCCACTCCCAGGTTCAGTGGTTCTCTAGGAGGGCTCACAGGACTCCGCGTAAGTCATACTCATGATTATGATTTATTACTGAGAGGATACACAGCCAAATCAGCAAAGGGAAAAGGCACATGGACTGAAGTCTGGAGGAAACAAGGTACAAGCTTCTAAGGGTCCTTTCCCAGTTGAGTCACACAGGACACCCTTAACTCTCCCAGCAACAAGCTGTGACAACATGTATGAAATGCTGCCAACCAGTGAAGCTCATTAGAGACTCGTGCCTAGGGTTGTCATTGGGGGTGATGACAAAGCACTTTCTATCTAGCACATACCCAAATTCCTGGCTCCTAGAAGGAAAGCAGGTGGTCAGCATAAACCATATTATTTGTACGAATGGTTCAGGCACAATGAGCCACTCTTATCTACTAATGGAGGGAATCCTCCCAAAATCTAAGTTCCCAGATGCCAGACAACAGCCGACTTTGCAAGCTGGTTTTTTCAAGGATAGCAGCTTAGGCCTGCTGTATAAGTCTTTTCTATACATAAGCACATTTAGTGTAATGCCTTAGCCTATCAATTTGATCTCCATCTCTCTGATTCCTGTGTCTTTGAACTCAGATGAATAAGGGAAAAACATTATTTTCTTATTTATTAATTTTTGTTGCCCAGGCTGGAGTGCAATGGTATGATCTCAGCTCACTGCAACCTCTGCTCCCCCGGGTTCAAAAGATTTTCCTGCCTCAGCTTCCCAAGAAGTTGGGATTCCAGGCGTGCACCATGATGCCTGGCTAATTTTTGTACTTTTAGTAGAAATGGGGTTTTGCCGTGTTGGCCAGGCTGGTCTTGAACTCCTGATCTCCAGTGATCTGCCTGCCTTGGCCTCCCAAAGTGCTGGGATTACAGATATGAGCCACTGCACCCAACCAAATGTTACTTATTGACCCTCAGCTAAATATTATGGCAGAGACAAATGAACAAGAGAGTGGTTAGGCAGGTAGGCCTCTTTCTCCAAGCATGAGAATAAAAGAAAACAGCAATAACCCAACAACAAACACCAACACATTAAAACTTTATTATTAAGGATAGTATCTGAAAAATGGATTTGCATTCACTATCCTTATTGACAAAGTCTATGTTGTGGCTTGAGATATTGATATTGATGTATGGAACATCTCAATTAACAAATTTATAATATTGCTTATTTCATTTAAGACTGTCATCCTTTATAATTTTCACATGTGTGTGAATGGGTGTGTATGCGTGCATGTCTGATCATTACTATAAGGTACTGGTACTGTGGTACATGTATACCTTTTGAAACTAAATAAATATACATATTTTAGAGTTGTGTGCCAAAAACTGTTTTACTAATAGGGATTTAGCAGTCATTGTCTTTATGTCATATAATTTCAAAACTGGAAGGAATCTAGAGACCTAATTCAACTCCTTCATTTTACAAATAAAGAAATTGATACCTAGGAAGGTGAAGCAGATTTGTACAAGATGACACAGAAGTTAGTGATACGGCCAGGCTAGAACTTGGATAATCCTTGAGCCAGGCAGGAACGTTTGACAAAATCTGGGAGGCCTTGGGAGCAACAGTTCTTTTGGGAGAAGAAATGAATGAGTCACCTTTCTCCTTGCCTCTGTTCCTCCTGTGTCATCGTGCTTCTGACATCTTCTTCCTCTTCCTGTTCTTCTCTAGGAGGACTGGGATGCCACAGTTTGCCTCACCTGGAGAGCGATGAGGGAGATTTATGCCCCATTCTGTCTCTGTGGGAGAATTTCACCTTGGAGTGTGCCTGAGACATTGCTAGTTAAATATTGGCTGGGAATATGATTGCTCAAAACTGCCATGAGTGCATTGTTACACATTTTACTCTTTTTCAAGTATGTAGGCTGAAATTGGAGAGAGCTTAAATTAGTTTGGAGTCTCAGTATTATAATTATCCCTTATGTTTTCACAAGGCTCACCCAGTTGTACAGTGCTTTTCCTCTACATAGTTTCAATTGGTTATTGTTTAAACACACTAAATTTTGGGATCATTTGTAACCAGAAAACAATGAATAAAATAATGAATTATATTTTACAGTGGCAGAAATCAAGACTTAGGGACATTAAGTGATGGTATGTCAGAACCAAGTGCCAAGCAAGGGCTTCAGATTTTTTCCCTCCACTATACCGCAATACTATGATTCTGCATTGTTACTCAGTCCACATACAGAACCTTACATAAATGATGGAGGCTTGATTACAAGTTAATTATTTCAACTACCCCATCTGTAATTTTAGTTTGAATTTAATGCTATTCATATACTGTAAACCTCCTCTGTAGAATTTAAAGAGCTTATTCTAAAAAAATTATATGACATGTCAAAGGATATAGAATAGTCAAAACAGTTTTTGAAGAAGGAGAACCAAGTGGGAGAATTTATATACCTAACTTTAAGATGAACAAAAAAGCTACATTAATCAAACCATGTGGAATTGGTATAAGGATAGACACAAAGACTGGTGGAATACAATAGAGAGTCTAGAAGTAGACCCATAAATATATTTTCAATTAATTTTTTACACATGTACTAAGGTAATTCAGAGGAGGAAAAGATTGTATCTCTAACAAATGGTATAGGAGCAACTGGATGTCTAAAAAAAAGTTAAAGGACCTTGACCCTTAGTCACACCATCTACAGAAGTTAACTGGATCACATAATTAAACATAGAAGCTAAAATCATAAAACAAAGCACAAGGGAAAAGTTTTGTGACCTTAAGTTAGGGAAGACTGTCTTAGATAAGACACAAGAAAACAGAAATAATAAAACAAAAAAATAGGTTAATTGGACTTCATTGAAATTATAAACATAAAATCTTCAAGAATAGAAGATGAGGTTTCTGGAATGGTAGTATGAGTCACTGACAGAAATGAAAGGAGAGATAAATAATTCAACAATGTAATTGGATACTTTAATACTCTATTTGCAATAATGGATAGAAGAGCTAGACATAAAATCAGGAAGGATAGGTTGACATGAAAACCTCGGAAAACTATAAATCAAAGACACCTAACAGATATCTATTCAATACTTTACCCAACAACAGCAGAATACCCATTCTTCTCAAGAATACATGGAACATTTTCTAGGACAGACCATATGGTAGGCCACAAGGAAAGCCTCAATGAATTGAAAAGGATTTAAATAATAGAAAGTATGTCTTCTGATCAGAAATAACAGAAGAAAATTTAGGAAATTCATAAATATATGGAAATTAAAGAAAACATTTCTAAATAACTAATGGGTCAAATAATAAATCACAAGGGAAATTAGGAAATGTTTTGAAATGAATAAACACAAAATACAGAATACTAACATTTATGTGATACAACTAAAGCAATGTTTGGAGGAAAATTTATAACTCTAAAAGCCTATGTTTAAAAAGGAAAAAATACTATATCAATAACTTAATGTTATAGCTCAGGAAATTAGAAAAAAGAAAAATAAACTAGACACAAAGCAAGAAGAAGGAGAGAAATAATAAAAGTTAGCATGAAAATAGATGGAATAGGGAACAGAAAAACCACAGAGGAAATCTACAAAACCAAAAGTTGGTTCTTGAATCAACAAAATTGACAAAGTTTTATCCATATTGACCACCACCACCAACAACAAAGAGAAGACTCAAATGACTAAAACTCAAGAATAAAAGAGGGGATACAACTACCAATATTATTAGTCATTGGAGAAATACAAAGTAAAACTACCCTGAGATACTACTATATGTCTATTAGAATGGCTAAAATCAAAATTTTAAAAACCTGACAATACAATGTTGATGAGGATATAGAGCAACTGGTGGGAATGCAAAAAGCCAAAGTCAGTTTTCATGGCAGTTTCTTAAAAAGTTAAACATATACTTACAGAAATTGACAAGTTGATCCTAAAGTTCATATGGAAATGTAAGGGACCTCAAATAGCTAAAACAATCCTGAAAAATAATCACACAACTCAGTAATCCTACTCACAGGTATTCACTCAAGAAAAATAAAAACTTAAGTTCTCAAGAAGACTGTACATGAATGTCCTAGCAGCTGCTATAGTCTGAATGTT